AGAGGTATTACCACTTTCCTTCATCAGTATGTAGGATGCCTGGCTGGTATGAGCAGAATGGTTGAATGGCTGGATCCTGTATCTCTGTCTCTATCTTCTTTTAAGAACATTATAAAGCAATTCACAGCTCTGTATAACCTTTCTAGCATGCATTCCAGGAAACAGGCTTATTCTTTTCCTTGTCGACACCATGTCTCCTAACTTACTACCTTGCACACCAGACAAGGACCTCCCAGCACCTTCCTGCTTAGCATGATTCAACTACCATATAAACTGTCTCTCTCTCTCTCCTTTTGAAATAATGCCAGCTAATTCTTGCTAACTGCCTCCTTACTGATGCTGTCATCTATCCACATAACTTCAAATCCATCTTCCCACAGAACTTCTGTAGTTTTTCTGCTACGCAGGCATCTGGCTATTGTCCCAGACTCACATGATAGATCTCCTGTATTCTGATGGCCCTTCCTGTCAAACTCAGTAATGCAGCTGGATCTTTCCTTTGTCTTTGTTATGTTGAACTCACCCTTCATCCACCCAATTTCCACATGGAGCTCTTTCCTCAGCATCTCCAGGAAACCTCTTTACTTGGTTTTCCATTTCTTACCCTGTTACCTCAAACCAATGACTTATAATGCCTTTTCTCTTCAGCAATACACTTCTTGAGCAGTCAGAAATAAATACTCTTTTAGGGTTTAAATGTGCCCTTAGGAACATGAAGCCTTTGTAATCTACAAATCCAATAGACTCTTTATGGAAATAGACTCTTTATGGTTGTTTTCATGACACAGGACACAGAATTACATCTTCCACAAGATTCACTTTTAAAGTAGATTTTTCTCTGGGGTCAGGGGCTGTCTTGGGTCTTCAATGACTTCAGTTCTTTCTGCTTACATTATCTCTTTCATTCTTGTTGTTAATATAGCTACAGCGACAGCCTACTGACTTCCCTCTTCCATTGATCTTTTATTCTCTGTACATACTCCCTCAAAGCTGTTGCTACTCTCTCGATTACAGCTAAAATTTGCACAGAGACAATTCTTGAACCTCTATCTCTTGCAATAAGTCAGTCTTGAATTGTAGAGTACTGTTGACAAAAACATTACACTGTCGCCTGTCTAAACTTTGTATTTCCCACCTAGAAAGCACTGTGGCCTTTCCTACCACTTCTTTCCTTCTATGTTTCCCAGGTAAGCAATATCACTAAAACATCATTTGCATTAAAAAGTAATTTATGGTGATGGTTAACTTTAAAATAAATAAATGAGTGGCTGTTTCATCCCATGTGCTGTTGAGTTGTTCCAGGAAGACAGCAAAGCAGTTGATGATTCCCAAGTAAAAAACAGATACTGGATAGCAAGGCCAGTATCTCTGGGGACATGCCACTCTTTCAGCTGGCCTCTCCTTTTTAGACAAGCTTTTCAAGAATGTCACAATCTTTGTTCTTATTTTAAGCTTTGCAGGCATCTTTCTAATATATAATTAGATCCCCCCCACTCCGAACAAAAAGGCAGATGCCTGCTATTGTGACTGGGATATGGCCATTGTGCATTAAGAATTGGCAATCTAGCTGGTAAATGATTCTCTTGTCAGTTTGCTTGGTGTGAGTCAGTCCCTCAGTGTTGGTGAACTCTAGATGAACTGTTGAGATCAAGTTTCTGTATCTGCACAAATGAAGAGCAGACTCCGGACTGTGGTGATTGAAAATAAACCATGAACTTGAGAGGTAAGGCCTGGAGAGGGAGGTCAGTAGACGCTTCCTGTTAATATGCTTTTTAGCTGGATACACTTTATCTTATGCATCTTTGTCTCACAGTATAAATAGCATAGTACAAAGCATAAAAATGTTGATTTCTTGCTTATTATGAATTTAAACATCCAATGAAGTGAGCAAAAGGACAATATTATGTGTCCACGTGGTCTTACAATACGATGAGGATATGAGGAGACCCAGAAAGCCTCCAAGTGTGAAAGAAAGCAACAGAAATCTGAAGCAGTGGCAGCAGAGCAGCACCTGCCTACAGACTGCCAAGTAAGAGCAATGAGTGTGATTTCACTGATTCCAAAAGAGCAGCAGAATTGGCCCTAGAATGCTTTTCTGATGTGTAACTGTGCACTGTGGGGGATCTTTGTACACATTATCTTACCCTCCAACTTTATAAAAGGTGCTTATTATTATGCCGTTCTTGTTGATAACAGAACACAGAAAAGCTTTAAAAACTTGACAAGGGAAAACACAAGCTGTATGTAAGAGCATTGAGTTCAGAGCTGAGGCTTTCTGATGGCAAGGTCATGCTCTTACACTTAAGAAGGCGACTGTCCAAACCTAAAGATATTGTATAAAAAGTTATGTGGTCAACACTTGTACAAATCAAGTACAATGACTTCCGTAGGAACCTCAAACTTGGTTCAAGACACCCCAAGACCAAGTTCTCAGCACAAAGGAGGTTTATTAGCCCCAGAGGGACAAAAGGCAGGCAATAAGAGACAAAGACAGGGGATAGAGGATGAAAGAGAAAGGAAAAAGAACAAGGGAAGGAGGAAGGGGTATTTGTCCTGGGGGGACAAAGGACTGCCTCTGGATAGAGAGACAAGAAAGATGTAGCACACAGGCAAATAGCAGTTTAAAAAGGTGCAAGGGGAAACCCTGTGTTAGGATGAGGAGTTTAATTTTAACTGGGCATGTTAATTAGGTGAGCCAAAGGGGCTTTTGATTGCTGGACTTCAGTGCTTCAATAGCAGGATCTTGGTAGTCAGCCTCAGGAGGAAGTGGCCAAACAAGGGAACAGACTGCAGGGATTAGCTTTAGGAATGTAATCTAGGGGATGTTTTTTTTAGCAAGGCAGAGGGTATGGAGGAAAAGGGCAGGGTCTGCCAGAGCCATGTTTGCCATGCTTGGGCTGGCAAGAGCCCCTTCAGCTTAAAATACACATTTTTGGAAATTATGACTGTAAAAAGATAACAGTTTTAAATAAGTGATTGCATGTAACAAGGTTAAACAAATACTTTTACATTTATTTAAAAATAGTTTTGAAAAACAAATGTCTCATCCTGTTTCTTTAGATATTCATGCCACCTTTTACTAGAGTAATAGATAATTTACAATGTTTGATCATGTCTACAACAAAAAAAGTAAAATAAAGTCTCTAATAGAACCTAGGATACCGGTTAAAAGTGCGCGCACAAGCGTGCGCGTGCGCGCAGCACACACACACACACACACACACACACACACACACACACACACAGAAATCATTTACTGATGCTGATCATTATTCTCTATTCTGTTTCCTTCACTGAAGCTCATCCCTCATAACCCTTAATTAGTGTGTTCATTCCTATCTCTGCCTATGAATAGAAATTTTACTCTCACCTGTAAACCAAAGCGACAGAATTTACTGGATCACCTTCAAGGTCTTTGTCTTAGCCCAATCATGGAGGCTTTGCCATCTTCACACTGGTCATTTCTAACCAACAAGCAATAAAAAAAAAAGGGGGGGGGGAGTGAAAAGTTTTTTTTTTCCCACTCCGTATGAAAGGCAGCGCTCTTGCCTCCATATCCCCATCACACTCCCACCTCTATTCCTGGGTCACTGTAGTCCGGCCAGCTGCTCAGTACAGGGGCCTGACGTACCCACAGCTGCTGATCTGGATTGTTTATCAGTCCCAACAGTCATGCTGACTGCTCAGGGCAGACCCCAGGACCAGCCCAGAGCACTGCAACTTTGCAGGGTTAGCAAGCACAGGAAAAACATGGACACAGATTTTCAAGTGACATCTGCTGTATCTACAATGCTTGTGCTGTCAGATCTCTGGACCATATCAGACGAGTCTGATATATAGGGACAGTTTCTACATTTGAAATGGAAGCTCTGACCATATTTGGGGCAGAAGTATAAATTTCCTGAAAAGAGTATTTAAAGTTTCTAAGCCATTAATAGAAGGAACAGAAATAAAATGCACCTTTATTTGCAGAAAATGTTCTGCAACTCTAAATTTAAGGTGATTTAGAAAGTCAAAGTTGTTAAAACTTTAGGACAGTTTTAAAATATCAAGATAATTATGTGCATTATTCCCAAGTATGAATTACATACACTGTAGCAAACATACACACTCACACATTCCGACATACACACTCTAGCATGCAGCATGCATACACACACACACACACACACACACACACACACACACCACACACTCCATCACACACACACACACACACACACACACACTCCATCACATACACACACTCCAACACACACACACACTCCATCACACACACACACACACACACACACACACACACACAACTCTCCCCAAAGTTGATGTTACAAACAGTGCAATTTGCCCAGGGCATCTATTGAAGATGTTCCTAGGGGACTTACCTGTTTCTTAAGGGCTGGCAGAGATTTGTATGTCCCCTCTCCACAAGAATTGGTTACAGGGCAGTTCCGAAGATGCCAGAAAACCCAGAACAGGATCATTGCACATTTACTTTCTCTTCTGAGATAATTTTCATTAGAAGGTAATGGTTTAAACATGTTTTTATTATGCACGCGTGAGCACACACGTGTATGTATAATCTTACACTTGGGAGACAAAGAAAGGCAATGTAAGCTGAAAAAACAGAACCTACAAAAGACGGTTAGCCTAATTACTTCCATGGATAGGCAGAAGTAGGGGATTTCTGTGAGTTTGAGGCCAGCCTGATCTATGAAGCAAGGTCTAAGACAGCTAGGGCTGTTACACAGAAAAACCCTGTCTCAAAACCACCACTCCCCAGATTGATTATATCCTCTTTTAAACATCAAATAATAATAACTGTAGGGATTAACTTACACAAGGTTTCTTCTTTTGTCATAAAATGTTATGGCCCAGTTTTCATTGTAAGAAATTACCTGAAATAATCCAAAGTGTCCTGCAGTATTTCCACTCTGCATTATGATGTGTTAAATGTGGGAAAACTTTTGAGCAAGAACAGTGTAATAACACAGACACTGTCACCACGTTTCATAGTTTTATTGAATCTTTCTCAGCTTTAATTGTCTATGATAAGCATAATTCTGATGACCACAATTATGAAGCTCTGCTGTTACTATAAATAGCAGATACAAGGTTGGCTGCCATGCCTTGGACACAACACACACACACACACACACACACACACACACACCACACACACACACACAGAGGCAAAAGCATAGCAATACAGGAGATTCTGCAGCCTCCTACAGTCCAACAATACTGTGCTTTTACAGGAGTGTACTTCTCCTTTATTACAAAGACAATTACGTGAAATCAATCCAAATTTTGTTAAACTACCACTGATGCAGATAAACCTGAGAAGGCTCAAAACGTCAAGTAACACTGTTCCATACCACTCAATAGCACTGTTAACCACAAAGAAATCTGCTTCAGTCATCTACATGAAAATCACAGATACTATAAAAATAAAATTTTCTTGCAAAATCGCTAAAATAACACAACTCAAATGCACACATTTTGATATGTAACATAAGTTCACCTTCATTTAGAAAATGTGACAGAATTTAGCAGCCAAATGATACATTTATCACTAAAAATGTTGGCATTAAAGTTACCAACTGCCCAAAGAAAACAGATTAAAATCAATTGCAATGCTGAACTTGTTGGTAGTGTTACATAAAAACCCCACCTCAAAGAAGTTAAGAATGTACTGTGTTACCTTGAGAAAAAAGACAATACAAAGCTTCAAGATCTAGCAGAAGTCTATCAGCTGCACTTTTCTCTCCCTATTTCACTAAATTTGTGTTTAAATTCTTACGTTATATCTATAATGCCCAACCCACTAGACTTCTAAATAATCAATTTTGAATAGAAGACAAACCTCTAGCCTTTGGCAATGGAAGCCCTGACCATAGTTAGGGCAATATTCTAAACTTTCTGAAAAGACAACACAAACTTTTCTATAATATAAATATATATAATGTACATAATAAAGAACCTATCTAACATATTCCATACTCGCTATGAATCTTATAGTAATCTAACACCAAATTGTGTAAGGAAAGCATGCAAATCCAAATCCAGGGAAAATTAAACACATAATAAAACAGATTTTTTTTAGATCCAAATACAAACTAGTCTTAAATGTTCAATATTAATATCTGAAAAACATCTTAAATATAATTGTCATTTTATCTAGCATTATATATTATTGTAAAATATGCCAGTGTGACATTTGGATATTATACATTGCAATAAATAGAATTTACATCAGTATTTTATACCTTCAAAGATGTTTTTACAGTCTGTACAGCTGAAGGACTGTGAGCTTCATCAATAAATACTATTACAATAATTACATTCGATCGGCAAAAGAAATGCTCCAATACATATTTACTAGTATCACATCGTCTTAGTCCTGTCACTAGTTGAATTCTAGCTGTTGCTAAGTACTGGTATCTGTCCTATCAAAAGCTGGTTTAGTATCCTGGCTGAGTAAGCAGAGATTTTCAGGTTTCAACCTGTCCATACCATAGTTGGTGATCACTGAGAATTTTATCCAAGGGCTAGATGGAAGAGTCCTAGGAAGCACAGAAAAAGGTTTCAAACAGTTCTCATTGTCTGCTTTTCACGATTCCCACAGTACCCATGGTGTCAACAAATGGGTGTCCTGTCACCTTTTCTGTTCATGAAGAATGGGCTTCAAGTGTCAGGACTCCAACAACTTCTCAGTTGCCACAATCGTGGTTTTAATTTTGAATTCTCTCTTGTGTGCTAAGTTTCTTCTTAATTTATCCCTTTAGTTCAATATAAGTTCAAAGCAACCTTCAAAGAGTCCAAGAGCAATTTGTATTAACAACAAAACCAAGAACAAACATAAACCCTTGCACTTGAAATGAAAACAGTTTTGTAGCGTGAAATTCAATGACTTGCTGAATCTTACAATTTTAGGTGTCCTTCACCCAAATGCCAACAGATCTGTCTTTATTATGGACATGCTTACTCATATCTGACGGCACAAATTGGTCTTTTGGCCAATAAAGTGTTGCTTCATCCTGACCTGTACATGCACAGGTCGTCTCAGGGACTTCTTTTGACCTGGAAGAAGTTGGCACAGTCAGTCTTGTTACTATGTTAAATGACGAAGCAAGTTAAGGAAGAAAGTGTTCTTCCTTAGGGGCTGGGGTTATAGCTCAGTGGTTGAACTCTTGCCTAGTATCCACTTGGACCTGGGGCTAATCCCGAGAATGAGGAACGTGGCAAAGTGTAAAAGGGAACCTTGGTCCCCTCACCAAAATACACTCTGAAAGAATCATTTATGAAAGTTGAAACAGTGCATTTAACACATATCCAAAATCAGGCTGCATCCTAAGACTCAAATGGAGAACACTGTATTAAATAATGAGGAAATGATACAGACATATGGATCACTGAGCTGTGCATTTCTGAAATTTCCATTTGGATTAGCTTAACAAAATTACTTTTGAGCCACTGAACATTTTGAAGTGTCAACATAATGAGGATGTATTTTAGATTTTGTCTGTAGAATTCTGAAACAGAAAATGCTGCATGAATCTTACCACTTGGGAGCTCTGAAAAACCTCAAAAGTGGAAGACACTGGAAGCGTCTTCTTCAGTTGGCTTTTATGGTAATACTGAATGTGCAAAGGAACCACTAGATAGGAAGGCTAAATGCAGCTTTTCTGGACCTAAGTAACAATAGATTGGGCAAATGGAAGCACTCCAAAGATCTCCCAGATCCCCAGTCACTTGTGTGTTTAAAAACTGACATTAAACCCTGAATTTTATGTCATTATATCCCTACTGGGCACAAAGGTTCTTTTTTTTTTCTTATAAAGTACTTTAAAAGCACTTTTTACCACCATTTACAAACTCAGAAGATAGCTGTGTAAAGACTAGCTTTCACAGTTAAAATTCCTTGGACATCAGATTATTTATTTGTGACTTTTATTTCCTCATTATTTTAATTAAATAAAATTTGATGATTCCAAGGACTATAAATGTAGCAATTCATTATTCATTGAAAATTATTTTTAAATTTCAATATACTTTACCACCATTTCACTACTGTCTAGCAGGCAAGAGTAGAAAACACTGGCTTGATGAATACTTTCAATGACCTTCTTTTCAGTTTTATGGTAGCTTGGGTACTTAAAAGTTAATTTCCTTTATTTTTCTCTTTGCAGATGTTTTTCATTTTAAGAGTCATTAAAAGCTTACAATTCATTAAAAGATTGCTTTCCATGTTCTTCGGCACACCTATGACTTGCTTACATGCACTTTTCAGTCTGCATTTAATGTTTTCAAGGACTTTGAAGAAACAGAAGGAACCTTCCCATCATTATTTTAGTTTTACACACCCTGCTAGAACTCTTCTCCCCCACCCACAGCTGCATTGTGAATGTCTGTCAACCATGGCCCTCCTGAAACACTGACAGTCCTGCCCAATATCTCCCAATCTACTAACAGTTCTGCTGCTTCACCCAACCAAACTGTAGTCTGAAATTTAACTGTGATTTCTCAAAATTGTTTTCACAGATGTGAGTGAGCACTTCTCTTGGAACACAAAGTCCAAAGACACTACACAGCAATGGTGCAAGTGAGAACTTTTTTTTCCCAGGAAGCCTAACAGTCCACAGTATTTATAAGAAAAACACATGCACTCCAATTATTTTGAATGCATTTTGCCAATAATATCTGCAGCCTCCCACCACCAAACATTAAACAAGCAATGTGCAGTAATCAGTTTTCCAGAAATAACTGGAAATACTCACTTTCCACACATGAAAGTTCATTGATTTTATTTTTGTATTCAATTCCCCAAAGACATTATCAGCCACCATCTATGCTTCTGAGGAACTGAAACGCATGTACCACAGGCATCTGCTCATTACTGAATGAGGATGCCAAACAGTTTTTGAAAGTATAGATTTTAGTTGGTTTATACTGTACGTTATTCACACAGCAACCGAGGCTGGACAAATCACAAACTCAAATTCCAGGTGGCCAGTTTTCTTGGAGAAACTTTTAATATCAAAATCGCTCTGCTACACATGCACACGCACTTTAAATAATAGAAAAGCCTGTGAATTTCAAAGGAAGAAGAGTGAGTGTTTATCTAGGTAGTACTGTTTGATTACACATACTTCTAATTAGTAAGAAAGGAGCTTACAGGAAGGAAAAATAAATGTGAATGTATAATGAATTGATGCTTCTTTTTATATATATATATATTATATATATATATATATTATATATAATATATATATATAAACACTCACTACTTTCTTGTTCGTAATGTTAAGGACAGGAAAAGCAGCAGGTTCTATGAGCATCCTACCATGTTACAAAAGTGAGGTGTTTGGGTCTTGGGCCTTCACAAGCTTGTGTCTCCATTCTGCTTGAA